TATTGCTATTATTCTTTGAACATGACCTGGACATGCTCAAGACGAGATGTGACGAGGGCACATTCTCCGATCTCCGCATGCCCGTCCTGTGGAGTGCAGCTGTAAATTAAGTCAGAGCAACTGGGTCTCCTCCTGGGTGGGGAGTAGTGACGCAGTGGTTAGCACACCGATCCGCGTCACCCGAGTTCCATTACCGACTGCGGCTATTGTCAGTGGTGAGTGATATCTGAAAAACAGACCTCTGAACCCCTTTCACGAACCTGCACTTAGAAGTGTGGTGAAATATGGTCAAACAATCCCCATTACCGATACAGTATGGGGAAGCCTTCGTTCAGCAGTGGATTGACATTTGTACGTGAAAAAAAGACGGATTTCCGCAAACAACACTTCAGGGTTGTGACAACTGAAATGGTGTGCAACCTCAAGTAGAGTTTATAGGTGCATCACCAACAACTCTGTATTCAAAAGATTTGAACATGCCGGGGTACCATGTGGCCCGTGTAGTTGAGTGGTGGCATCAATGTATTCAGCGTGAGTGCTGACTGTGGCAAATGGTTGCTCGATTAATAAAGAATAGCCATTTAGATGATGGGATGCGCTTCAGAAATAACAATGATGAAAACTAATTTTCAGCCCTCTGACAATTCACTACAGGATGGAGGCCTCCCCAGCATGTCAGTCATGTGGGATGTTTGTGCAATATTCACCGCAGTGATTGATGTGGGTAAGTGAAGGGAGTTCCAAGACCTCTTCAGATATCAATCACATCGCTTACCACTGACAGTAGTGGTAGTGCCGTGATTAGCACACTGCACTATGGACCCAGTGACCGGGGCTCGATTTCTGTGCACTATAAAAACATGGCTGTTCTTTCTAAATGTGTGGATTTATATAAGTTTCACACCAACAGTTCTGTTGAGGAGCATATAAATCAAATGTCTTACTCTTTCACCAGCAAAAACTCTGTACCAGGTGTAAAACTCAATCCACCTGCACAGAAAATAGTTCGTATCAACGGCAAGGTAATGCAATATTTTTGCCAGGATATCACTGCTAATTGGTGAGAACCCCACAAAATGTATGCATATGCATTGTGTGTGAAAGGCTTGCCACATCTTATCTGCACACACCATACTGAGCACAAACTTAGCCCCGTTTATTTGTAAACATTTGATCATCATTAATTCCGTCACAACTCCGTGCTAGCCCCACGCAGGTTTCCAACAGGTGAAATGTCAAAATAGAAGTTACTTCTATTTATAATGGAAACCATTTGTATGCTTGAAGAATAAACTTTGCTCAGTTATTCCCAATATCATTGGGCGCCACGGTGGCGAGATATTAAATGCCTCGCCTGGTATACAGGAGGTTGTGAGTTCGATCCAAACCCAGACGCCTGTACATTTGGAGTTTGTATGTTCTCCCTGCGGTCACGTGGATTTTTCTCCAGGTTCCTCCGGCTTTTCCCTCCACATTTAGAAACATGCGTTTAGAGTATTTGGCTGCTACACATTTCCACATGATAAGCCACTTTGTTGAGCTATCATTTCTGGCCAGGTCACTTCTCAACAGGAGCTATGAAGCTCAATGGGCGTTACTTGGTAAATTTAAATTTATATTTTTTTTGTTCGGTTAAAATATTTTTTCAGTAGTTTTCCTTTTTCTATATTGAACATGCTCTCCTTAGTGATCATTTAAACCCAATGCATATGCAAAATATTTCTCATTTTTATTTGTCTGTGTGTGCATGCATGCATGTGTGCATATATTACTTGAGTTTGTGAGTCAATATGCATAATGATTGTACAATTGCTTCGGTATATACCTGTCATATAGACAATGAATGTGATCATATAATTAATTTATCGATATCATATAATTAATTTATCGATATCAATTTAACGAGTAAGTTTCGTTTTACATTTGTATGTAATATGAAACTTTATATTTAGAATCAACAAGTGTTCAGAGTATTTGGCAGCAATACATATCCACGTGATAAGCCACTTAATTGAGCTATCATTTGTGGCCAGGTCGCTTCTCAAATAGAGCTTTATAGCTCAATTGGCCGTACCTGGTAAAAATTAAAATTATTTTGAATAGTTTCATTTATTGGAATGGTCATGCCAATAGTTGGAAGAGAGTCTGTTTTCTCCAACACATGATCCAAGCACAGCAAGTGTGTTGCTTGAGTTAAAGTTATATCAATAATCATCACGTTATGTTTAGAACCACTTGAGATCCTATGAAGTCAAAAAAGACGTCAGTACAAATACAATAAAGCGTATCGTAAAGCTTTCCACTCGAGAAAAAAAACGAAACCAAATAAAACCAAAAAGCTGTAGAACGTGGTCAAATAAAGCGGCCTAAAAGGTAACAAGAAATACGACAGAATAATTAAAGAGACAACATCACCAATATGTGGATGTCACGAATTATCGGATACAATTCTATTAAAACTCAATTTACCGAAGCTTATCTGGAAGAATTGCAGACAGGCATAGAATGTATGACTCAAAGATGTTCACGGCAAAAAGAGAGTATTGGTGTGTAATGCATGAGTTGGCCAGGACGTATCTCGATGGAAAGTTTTACACGAAACACATTATGCCAAACTTATGATGAGATTATGATATGATTTATGTTTGCTCAGCAGATGTGCCCAGTATGTGAGGGGACAGGAGTGTGGGAATATTGCCAAGTATCAGTGTGCTGGTGCTGTGTGGAATTGTTCCACACATTGCAGAGCTATTCTGATGAGAGAGGACTCTTTCCACATAGTGAGGAGGAATGGCTCTGTTTTTTGGGTCCACATTTTGCCAGACCCCCCCCCCCTTCACCCCTCTTTAATTTGTGGATTAGGTCTGAAGAGTCTCAGGCTGGTGTGCATAGCTGTATTCTTGTGCCATCTGTGTCGGAAAATTTAAATAATGAAAAATAAACAGGTCACCAGAGTCTTGAATTGGCACCACTGAGAACCTGAGTTTGAATCTGGGAAAGCACCTGTGATTATAAATGCTGTTCTCGTGTGTAGTGAGTCCCATCTGGTCACCAATGAATGCACACAACAACCGTCACATTTTTCACTGACATACCAGCTGAATTGCTGCTCTGCAAATACATAAAAATGTATTGGTTTGGCTGCCATCCGATTAACATTTCACTTTAGCAGGGCATGTGGGAACATGCACCCTCTAACGTGTGGATAAAAAAGGTCACTTGAAGGGCTCTCTGCTCTCAAAAGAATATCTGTGTTTATCTCCTGTGCTGGGCGATGTTGTAACACAAAGGGTGATGCACTACTCTGTGGGAGTGGTGAATGGAAACATCGACTTAAAGCTTTCGTGACTGCAGGAAATCATATTCTTTGGGTCTTTTTGTAAGGTCACGTGGATAGGTTGAAAAAATAAGATAAACAAAAAAACTACGCAACATAAGCGACCGTCATTAGGTGGAACCTATCTACGTGACTTTACCGAAAGACCCAAAGAATACAAATGGAAATATTGTTGCCTAGCATGATGTCAAAAGTACAAATTTTATAAAACTGGGAAAGTCAAAACATATTGGGGAAAATAATTAAGATGTTGGCTTTGAAAGTATGATCGATTGCAAGCAAGTTTTCAAATATTCTTATCCACCTCCGATTAGCACGCTTGGCTATGTATGGTGCGAAAGAAGTTCAACATACATACATACTTGAGTGACAGTCAAGTAATTGCCTGCGTTAAGAGGCATTAATGCTGGCTCGCCCTAATATATCTTTAGAATTTCGATGTAAACATGGTGTGATGTATATGGCACATTAACATTTTGTAATGCACGTGTAACTATGCTATTTGTAAGGTGTGTTGCTAATATTGATACAATAAGTTGTTGTTCTTCAAGTAATTCATTCTCAATTGTGCTTGAACCTATTTATTTTTACAAAGGTATGGTAATTACAAATCAAAATCAGTACACTGCAAATTGAACCTCATTAAGCGGACAAACCTTTATTACAAACAAGCCATTTTGGTAGTTCATCAACGTCATAAAAAATATAATCAATTAGTACAGCGGTGGAGTAAAGGGGGAGGAGGAAAGTGGGGAAAGGTCCTGGAACAAACGGACTGAGTGCGGGGGATGATTCGGCATCAATTACAAAAAATGTAAGTACAACTTAATCCCCACGTTTAAAAATAAATTAACCAGTTAATCATGTGTATGGTTGATTAAATTACGCTTCAGTAATGGTTTACTGTAATACGCGCTGAGCACAGAGTCTGGAACCCCCCCCTCTCCCCCCCATGAATATCGTACAAGTCAAACCATCGTTTTTATAAATCACAGAAGCCTAATTTAACTATCACAGTAAAAGTCCTATTTGTACCACAGTAAATCGTCGTCGAAAACATATAACATTATCTATCAGGTGTTTGGGATTTTCATTGGTTGAACAGTATGCTTTAAGACAATGGTGAGAGTTCTACCAGACTTCCTTGTCATTTATGTGGGGGAATTGCCATTGAATGCTGGCTACTGTAAAGTAGTATCATTAACGACTATAATGTCATTTAAACGATCAAGCCATTCCATATAAGCGTTTAAAGCAGGCAGTACATTTACAATTTCAGAACAAAGATAATGGAAACAAATTTATATTTCCTTCCAAAAGCATCAAGAAATCTAAGTGTGTTTCATCTCGACTTAAAGCTTTCGTGACTGCAGGAATTCATATTCTTTGGGTCTTTCGGTAAAGTCACGTAGATAGAAAAATAAAATAATAATAAAAATCACGACGTTTCGATCGCAAACACAAGCTTGATGACGATTGCTTGTGTTGCGATCGAAACGTCGTGATTTTTATTATTATTTTATTGTTCTATCTACGTGACTTTACCGAAAGACCCAAAGAATATGTGTTTCATCTCGTTAGAGAACATTGATTTATTGAGTACAACGGAGCATGTAATATTTTTTACAGCATTCCTGCTTAAGAGCGGCAGCCCTGGAGGTACCTTTGCCGTGCTTTGTGATGGTGGAGAAGGCGTATGCCACAGACAACGGAGCCGCCCAGTGTCACACACACCCCGGCCATCACGCCCACCAACAGGTGCAAGCTGGTGCTTGAGAACATGCCTGTGAAACAAGCGTCGATGATTAAAAGCCAGAATCAAACGTCTTTTGTAGTGTTTCGTGATTTGTGTGTTTCTTTTCATTGAGGTTTGTGGGGGTGCTGACACGGAGGAGCTCGTGTGTCGCTTGTTTGCACTGGTTCGTGGTTTAAACCCAGCGGCCGCCCTGGTTAATACTGAGGGGTGTATGAAATACAATAAATATGCATGCCATCTGCTTCACAGTGGACGTTAAGGATCCTGTGATGTTCATCGAAAAAAAGGTCAGCCACGTGTGTGGGCGTCACCGCTCCAAATTTGCCAAATTTGAGCATTTCTATCAAACTGCCCAACTGGGTCAAACCACGTAGCAGCAGACTTTACTCATCTTCGTGAAAGCGCCTTCGTGATAGCTTTGCACTATAAGAAGCGCACGGATACAAACGCTGATTTGGTTTGACGAGCAGTTGTTTGTACAATATTTATATGTGCAGAATATTTCACCCGCATGTGTATTGTGGCTCACTTATTCGTGTTGACTAAAAATGCTTTAAAAGCCAGTCTGTATGCAACAAACCAAAATGTATTGCAGCAGCATGTTCCACAGCATTTTAAGGTGCACTTAAAGTTTTTGTGAGAGTGGTTAGCACATTGCACTATGCATCAAATTCTAACCCACAACTAATATCAGTGGAAAATGGAAAATCTTACCCTTCCAAAAATTACCCTAACCAGAAAACAAACTCCACTGATTGACACGGTCCAGCGAGGCCTTCAACCAGTCGCGGAATGAAAAGAGGGCTACGAATTAACGAGGGTAAGTTAATTAACGAAGTTTTAGATAACGTAACTTTAAGCATTTTAACCATCCACATTATTTCCCTTGACAACCAGACGAATAAGGATGCGGTTGTTTTTTTTGTATCGAAAGAAAATAGCGGCCGAAAAAAAAAGTTTACATTGACAACTTTACATCAAGAACATTGTTCTGGTTTCATCCAGCGGTTTTCAACGTCTTTCACGCCACAGAATATGTGGCGCACATGTTTCTGCTGTGCAAAGCTCTGATTCCTGAAACACAAGTTATGCACGAAGTTACTGCCGTGAGCGTTGTGATGGCAGCGCATAAATCCCAGCCCTGGGTGAGGCCGGTTTAAGCCCTGAGCTGTGCCCGGCATACTATAGTGTGCAAATGTACTTATGATTACAAAGACAAACACAAATATGCCACGTATAGCCTTAACAGACTGTTGGGGCAAGTGCTGTTAACGAGCACTCATGAAGGCCGGAACGGGCACACGAGGGGGTGGGTTGCCAGCACCACGCCCGGCCGCCTTTGTCTCCCTCGTGGCGATATTTCCCAAACCACAAAAGGAACTCATTTGAGGCCGAGTACACTACCGCTCCTCATAAATCTTCATTTGATGTGTGTTGCCAACACGATGGCGCATATGGAGAGGTTCAGAGGGATGACACTCGTGGAATAAAATATTCACGTAATAAACTGCTTGTGCGTGCAGTTCCATTGTCCTCGTGCAAATTCCAGACTCAATGTAATGGACACGCTGTGTATTTCATGCATTCATTGTTTTATTATTCATTATGTTTGTTTACCCGGGAGAGCCTCATTCCGTCTTGACACTCTTGTTCAGGAGGATCCTACCGACTGTTCGCAGTCATGGGTAATGTTGCGATGTGTAAGTCCAATTGAGTAATTTGCAGGTAATTGTTCAGCATTGGAATGTTTGGCCAATACCAGTTACATTTTACGTGTTTTCCTGCTCTTATCAACAAACCTTAGATCCCGGAGGAATCCCCTGCAGATCAGCGAGAACATACAAACACCACACAGAAAGTCGCCTGAGTCGGGAATCAAACCCAGGGACTTCTTGCTATGAAGCACACGTTATTACCACTCCTCCATCTGCCATTTGAACGTGTGCTTAACAACATAAATTACACTACCGCTGATACAGACACACATCACACATTTATAAATACATTGTACCACCTATCCCGTTACGCCACGCTGGTCTCATGCTGCCAACTCGTCAGTCTCATGCCGCCTGTTGACAACCCTCGCATTGCTCAGCTCCAAACGTGAGACATCCAAAAGTCTGCAGTGACTTATTGAGCATTCGGCGTGAACAACGATAAACCGACCAGGTGGCTCAGCAGCAGAGCGAGTGGCTCACAATCGGTAGGTTGCGAGTTAAACGACCTGGTGAGGGGTTGACTCAGCCTATCATCCCTCTGGGATCAATAAAATTAGTGTTACACTGTGGGGAAGACAAAATGGGTGGTCATGAATTAACTTTCCCCTGTCGTAGGAATATGGAATTTGACAACTGGCTTAGGGCTGTAAACCAAGGCACTTCCTCAATCCTCATTTGATCAAAAAAAATCTCCTTGACTTGACTTTTTTGAAAGATCAATAAACAACCTTATGTCTCAAGACTGGCATTAAATGTCTTCCAAAAGCATTTCAGATTAGGAATGATTGAAAAGTCTGTGGCGTGACAGAAGGCAATAGAAGGTGAAATTTTCTACATACTGTATTCCTCTTGAACCTGCAATGTTCTGGGTGTATTGACGTCCCAACACTTTAATCTTTACCAATGGTTCACGGAACATATCCCTTCAATTTCGGTAGAAAACGGATTTCTCCGCGAGGTTTTTTTTCTTCCTATTTCCAACTGTGGAAACGTGGGGTGGTGACTGACCAATTAAATTGTGGCATCATGAATGGTTGCTACTGAAACTGGAGACGTGTGATCTCGTGTTGTCCTGGTCAAACAGCATGGCATGTCTCAAATTTCCACTCCTATTCTTTGATAACCTGGCCAGGTGGCTCAGCGGTAGGGCGAGTGGCTGACAATTTAAAGGTTGATAAAATATATATATATCTAACTTCGTGGGGAAGTCAGCAGTGGTTGTTCTCCTATGGATAGACTCGACCCCGCCATAGGAATGTGAAATTTCCAACACTGACTCAGAGATGTAAACAGGATATGAACATTGCCTAAATGCTCATTTGTCCAGAAAATGACTTTGATATATATAGGAATTGCAGTGTTATCGCATTGCGTATATGTTCTAAATCACCACGGTGATTTCTTCTACATGCCATACAACTGAGATCGTCACTTTGCTCACAGAAGCCAACTCACAATTTTCCTCACGTTAGTGATTCATGATGTGTCCATCAAATAAACTAACCTTGAGTTTCTCAACACAATGGATGTAAATATGATGCCTCTATTGCCACACGTGGTGTGGAAAAACTTATTCTGGAATTCACTGCCACTTATCCAGGAGCAGCTGACTATGAATGTCTCTGGTCCACCTTTTTTTATTTTACTTTAATAAAGAACCAAGATTGTAAAAGTAAAACAAAGAAGAGCCCATTCTTAATATTGAATCGAAGACCAAACTCACAATAATTAATTGAATCACCAGTGTAGAGGGTTGTGGTGAATCAATACACCACTATGAAGCATTGTTGTTGATGAATCTTTGTATGTATGTTTAATTTATTTCGCACCGTACATAGCCAACAGCGCTTATCAGAGGTGGTGAGTTCATATAAACTTGTAATCGCACTCCGAGATAAACTCTTAGCAGTAGAGAACTAAAAGCTTATTCATGTCATCGGTAGTGGTGAAGTGATGGTTAAGGTCACCAAACCTCCTGCTTTCCCCCAGACAGTCTGGGTTTCAGAAAGGATGTCTCAGTGTCCTGAAGCTTTTTGTGAAAATTGGGATTTTTGCCCCGGTTGCACATTTTTGAGCCAGATACACTTTTTTTTAAATGTGTGCCTGGCACACACACACACACCACAGTGCAACCCGCTGAAATGCATGTGCGTTGTTTGCACGTCCCTGTGTGCAGGCCGAGCTCATGAAACTGCAGGGAGGAGCCTTGGGAACATGGTCTGTCAATCAAGGACACCTCCCAGACATTCAAAAATGTCTGGCCTCTTGTTCAACCCATGATACCTGGAAAGGGGTGGGGTGGTTGGCGTGGTGGGGCAGGGGGGTACCCGGGTACTGGGAGGGGTTGGCAGAGAAGTGTGCGGGGCCGACGAGCATAATTGTACGGCCAACTTTAGGAAGAACGAGTCTGTTTTCTGTGCAGGCGGAGCCAGTGGTTTTGTGGGCGTGGTTAACGTAAAAGTAGGTGGGGCTGACCGTTCCAAAGTAGGAGCTGCCAGTTCAGCGCGAGTGTCGGTTGGAGCCTCCCAGAAACGTGACAGCCTTGAGCAACGGTGCGTCACATTGTGCGTGCAGACGGCCGACTTACCCGTGGGGGGAGTGTTCACCTCCTGCACGGGCGAGTAGGGCCCGCCCCCCACCACGGTGCGTGCGCCCAGCTTGAAGAAGTAACGCGTAGCGCCCTGCAGCCCCTTCACCTCCGCCCTGAGAACGCTCCCTGCATGCAAAGGCAGAAGAGACAGCGTGGGCCTGCAGACTCGGCAGCATTGCGGCATCAGGGAGCAAATCATATGTGGCTGATTTATGGTGTCTGTCCACATAAGGAATGGTAGACAAAGAAAATAACGAATGATTTTATTTCACCCACCGTTAACTGCCCGAATTTGTACATTTGCAGAAAGTGTCATTTTTTAAAAAATAAGCAATTGCCAAATCATACACGCACAGCTATGCATTGGATTGGCTACAATATATACAGACAATGCTAACCATGATTTGTTTCAAATTGGTAGTGATAGCTCTACAGTAATTTCAGGATTAGACTATTTGTGCTTTAAGCTCTTGTGAAGTCGCAAAGGCACACACAAAGACGCATCTGCTAATGCTGAACAGATCAACAGTTTATTCAGCATTCGCAACACTCCAGCAAGCATAAAAACATCTGATCTGTGAAGAAATTGTGATCAGCTTAATGCACGCTTTCTGTAGGGGAATAGTTATGGGTACAGTATGAATTGTATACGTTTTAGAATATGTTCATGAAGTTGAATGATCCCCATTGTTACTGGATAATGCACTAAATGCACTCTCAATTGTATTAACACTGTGTTTTAGCTGTGCGATCGATATTCATAATACATTAGGGATGAAATATGAAGTCACACTGACCGAGTTTTACAACTGGAAGAGTTGTAAAAAAACCTGTCAGGCAGAAAAGGGAATGTAGAACCTATTGCATGGGTGTAGGAACAGTGCAGTGGCAAGCGCACTACACTACGAGTCCGGTGATTTGAGTTAATTTCCAAGCCACAGCTAATATCAGTGGCGAATGAGATCTGAACATGTCCTGGACACCCTTCACCAACCCACGCTGATCGGCATGATGAAGTATATTCAAGCAATCCCCGTGGCTCATACGGCGTGGGAAGGCCTTCAACCAATTAGTGACTTGACAAAAAGGGCTGTTATTATTGTGAACACAACAACCCACAGACTTGCCCAACCTTTTTCTGCCCTTTCATCTCTCTAATTGCCTTCACCTGGTCCCCGCTCCGGCACCCAGGACCTTCTTTCAAAAGACCTGTCAACAATCGGCGTCCAAAGGGACGTCACTCGTTCTGGTGCCGCACCCGTGGTCGAGGATTCCCTTCCAGCCATCCCTGCTCCTGTGGCTCAAGATTTTCCTATTTACTCATACCTAAATACTTTTTCCTTTCCATACTTTTTTTTGTCAAAATTGCATACCTCACATATATCTGTGATTCATAAAGTGTGCATGCTATACACACTCACACAGATACACATGGCGTTTGTTCCAACATAGGAACACTTTGAGGCCACGTGCAGCAGTGAATGGTCCCTCGTCAGAAGTCGTGAGACAAACCCAGCGGAGGGTCTGTGCGGCTCGTTCCGGTACGCGTGTATGTATGTTGAAGTTCTTTCGTACCCGGACATAGCCAAAACGTGCGAATCGTAGGTTCCTGAGAAGGAGACAAGCTGGAGTATCGCTCCCACCGCTGTGAAAGAGCAATTATATAGTGGATTGCAATCACATTTCTCTCTTATGAGGGAGAGTGAGACGACGTTGTCCTCCTGCGCCCCGTTGCAAACAGGCGGTGGACTTTTTAAGGAGGGTTCTATTTCATTGCCCACTGATTGTGTCTTGTTCATCTGTTGGCGCCAAACTTAAACACTGGGCACTACACAGGGCTACATTGGAGGTGTACAGAGCTACGGGATGGCATGGAAAATACCGCATGTGCGTGCATTACAGTGGCGCGGGAAGGCTGCATTGAATTATTATAATAATTATCGACCTCGATCTGGATTAATGTGAAATACGGCTAGCCATGGCCTCACTATTAAGGGTTTTACTGTATTTACTTGGCAGTTCATCAGATCACCTGCTTTGGCTGTGATGTTTATGTAAATACACTGCGGGAAATGGCAAAATAACTTAATTAAATGAAGGTTGAACATTTTGACTCGAGATACAAAGAGGAAAACAGAGGTCGAATACAAGTTCGCTAAATAATTGTATACATCTTTCAGAGGGACCCAACTGTGAAACACAGCACAGAGTGAGTGTACTTGGCACAGCTGTTGAAGGGTGACCAGGAGCAATAAAGATTAGATGAAGAGGTGGACGGGAGCATATTCTTTGGGTCTTTCGGTAAAGTCACGTAGATAGGTTCAAAGAAAATAACAAAAATAACATTTGTTTCTTTTCGGTAAAGTCACGTAGATAGGTTCAAAGAAAAGAAACAAATGTTATTTTTGTTATTTTCTTTGAACCTATCTACGTGACTTTACCGAAAGACCCAAAGAATATGAATTCCTGCAGTCACGAAAGCTTTAAGTCGAGATTTTGGACGGGAGCATGTCGGGGTGCTCTTGGAATGCTGAAGTTGATAATGAACATACCAGTGTGTCTGAACAAAATAAAGTTTTTAATCAGCGTGTACTATCTGCTATGGCGTGTGTATGTATGTTGAGCTTCTTTTGCACCGTACATAGCCAACCGTGCTAATTGGAGGTGTGAGGGAAGGACAACAAACTAAACACAAAGAGCAGTTCTAAATCAATTCGTGTTTGATCTCGATTTAAAAGTGCATTGTTCCAGTGGCTCTCTAATATCGGAAGGAATATACCTAACATATGATTCAGAAACATTGTCATGAATGAAACATATGGAACAATAACTCAAATGTACGCAAAGAAGAATGGAGAGATGCATGCTTGAAGCTGCATTGAGAAACAGAGGAACGCGTGAATTAGAGAACATACACAGGTTAATTATATGATCCAAACTATGAAGAAGAGTAATTGGGCTTGGGCAAGATATATGGGCAAGATATAACGCGAGCAGGGATGGTGTATTATGGTCAAAAAGGTGCTGTGTTGATTGTGTTGCATTGTGAGACCACGAGAGATGGTGGTGGCTTGGAGAGGTATTCATTCATTAGAGGGTTTACTCTTGTTGTTGATGATAATAGAATATACACTTTCAGCGACACTGGCAGTTCGCAAAACGAACTAGTAATCCAGAGGCTGCTAGTTTGATCCCGCGACACAGCAAGTGAAACGACAACGGGCAAGTTTGTTCAATCCTCCCGCTGCTGTGAACCCAGTGGTATAAATGGTCACATCGTCAATTAGCAGGTTGCTTGTGGCGAGTTAAAGTGTGGGCCTTCCCACCTCTTCTAACACATCTGGCCAGCATAGAAAACATAGGCCAAAACAACTAAATGGAGGGGCTCTTTATAGTTCATTCGAGTGGAGACCCTTCTGGCAGCAGTGGTGTGAGCAAGCAATTGCAAGCCTGTACCTTTACCTTTTTAATATTGACCTTCAATATCTACACGGACATGATCTTACATTTTTCCCACAGCCCAATGTCAAGTTGCCTGTTATGGGAACTGAAGATTGGAAAAGTGAGGCTTGTGTGATTAAATAACACACACAAATGAAAAGCGAATGCAATATTTACTTTGTTACTTTTTTAATCTTTCATAAAATAAAATGTGCCTGGCCATAACTCAAACTCGTGAAGTTCGGCTTACCTAGCGAGGCTTATGGCAGTAGTTTTTACACTACAGTATTGTGATTTCATGCTAGCAGATGTGATTGCCTCGTTTGAACCAAATAATGTATTCTCGTTTCCAATACTTGTTCTGAACTACAAATAAAGTTTTGTTCACGCTTAGTAAGAGTACAATTCTGTAACCTATAGGTGACATTAATTTATCTGTGTGTGCATTCAATACAACATGAAAATTGGATTATTATATTTTTGCATAGCCATTTATAAAGCAACACCTCTTCCAGTAGTAATACCATAAAATTGTGTAATTGTCTCATGTCATATGGAAATATCCCAATGTGTGCATTATACCCATATGTCTGCTGTTGATGAAGAAACAATCTGCTGGGAACGAGAGGCCACAAAACGAAGAGATTCCATCATAATCGTATGAACATATAAGCTAACTCAAGGCCATAGCCATGGAGTCAACATTGGGGGGGACCAAATGTTCCAGTGTGTCTGGGGGTCCCAACCCAGAAAAATATCTAAATTTGAAAACTAATTTCCTGCCTAAAATATTTTAAAATTCACTAACACAAGGGAAGGATTTTTCTTTTTTACCAAAATGTCAAATAGTGTATTGTATTACATTGCTCTGTTTTTACTTTTTTACCATTTCTTGATTCGTTGTATGTAATGGCAGAGATTAGGGATTAATAAAGTACAACCATAACCACAATCATATAAACATAAATCTACGCATTGATTTATATGAAGACACGTCCCGATATTGTGGCCAAGGTATAACAAATTGTTATTTTTATTTCCATAGCATAGCAATTTTTATAGCAATATATTGGGGGGGACATTTTGGACATATTTGAATATTGTGTCCCCCCCAATATATATTATAATTAGGGCCTTGAGCGAACTATTACTGTTATGTGGCCTATACTGCAAACGATGATCCACCCACATTGTCACGTAAGACATTGCACGGACAAGGATGTCACATGTACGATCGCATGTAGTTGAGTTGCCGCACACGTTGACTCTCGGCAACTCTCTGCCGTACGGAGTAAACGATCGCCTTAGAAAATGTCTCCAGCGTCTCCAAAACAGCGTCATTTGCCTGGCCCCCACCTCTCGCGAGTTCTTCGAACCTTGTGAAGGAGCTGCACTGGTTAGCAGTGCATTAGAGAGGTCCGGTTCAAGGTGGCAGTACTCGCTTTTATAGCAATGATAACCGGTCAACCAGCGATGCCAAGCACCCATAGGTACCATCACGAAACGTTACCTTATCATACATTTACATAGCGCCTTAACGAAGGCGCTGTACAGTGAACAAACAATGGTACAAGACGGTTGGCGAGATTAAACGAGATGAGTGGATGGGATATATATGTGGCGGTGGCGGCAGCGGTGGTGACGGTGGTGGTGGTGACGATGGTGATGGTGGTGACGATGCGTGG